GGGGGCGCCCGTCTTGCACGCGATGTCCGTTGCAATGGAGTCGCCCGGCGCGCGCCCTGCAGGGGCCGCGCCCGCGGGGCCAACTTCTTCGGCAATCTCATCATCTTCGTCTTCATCAGCTTCTTGTTGATCATCATCTTCTTCTGATTTGGGATCAGCAGGTTTCCCCGCGCGTCCCGAATGCCAGTCTCGATTGAACTGCTTCAGATAATGAATACGTGTGAGGCTTTCTCATATCTGAATATATTGTGATATATCACTGTCTGTTGCTTGCTTGTAGTCGTCTTCCGTCAACTGCCCCTTGCATGGCGTTCTATTAGGACCGGCGCAGTTACCTCGACCTTCACGATAAGACCAAGACCAAGGTGCCCCCTTGAAGTTCGGGCTTCTTGATGGGCGTCTCATGGGGCAGCCGGGCCTGTGGTCTGCGTAGGCGGGGCATGTGCAACAAACACGTCTATGGAGCTCCCTTTCCTCGATGACCGCTCTCTTGCGGTCGCACTTGATAATATTTTCTTATGTTTTAACAGGTCCAGCCCCTTTCGAGCGAATGATCTTGCCGTCTCCACCTCGTTTAATATTGCGAAGAGAATGCCAGTGACGAATCCGATGCTCTGTCCAACCCTGGCCCCGCCAATGCTGCGCTGTATCTGGGGGCATGTATTGACGAGCCAATCCAGCTTCCGCGTAACCAGCGAGGCGCTGAATTCCGCCATCTGGAAGTTCTTCTCGCGGTTGATCATCTTGAGGCGGGTGTCCCCGCAAGCGCTCCCTCCTCGGGGGAGTGACAGGTCTATTGGCCTGCCATGGCGGGGTCTTTGGAGCTCCCGCGCCAGGAAGACGAGGGCGCTGAAGACTGCTAGAGCGAGCGCCACTGGATCGATCACGCGCGCGATCAGGTGAGCGACTGGGAAACCGACCGCGAAGTATCACACGGTCGCCATCCTCCCATTATTCGCCCTCGTCGTCGTCGTCGCGATGCTTTCTCCTCCAGATCTGGCGGCGTGCCGACCGCTTCTGGCGGCTCATGGGCCGATCTGAAGCGACAGAAGTATATTGAAATTCTTCATTATTACCAAGCTCGTACTGAATACGCTCAGATATATCACTGGCATGTCGCGGTTTTCCCCGCAGAAAATCAGCATCACTTAATTCCATATCTATCAGATTTCCAATAACTGGAGGATAAAGCATCAACTGTATTTCCTCGTCTGTTGCAGGAATGGTAACTTCTGAATCCGCGGGTGCCCCCGCCATGTCAGCATCTCCATCGGCGGGCATGTGGAAGTTCTCGACGCATTCAATATCTGCAGGTTGCCCCGCGATGGGCATGCCCAGCCAGTCTGCCAAATCGATGTCGCTGTGGCCAGTGAACACCTCCTCGAACAGCTCGCCTGCGAAGTTGTCGAGGGTCATACTGGCACTGAGATACCTGGCAGCCATGAAATTAACAACTGCGGCTGAGCTATCGGCAGGGTCAGCTAAAAGAGACTCCCAGTCAACATACCGTGTGTCGGAGTCTGTTTGAGCCAGATGTATTGACGGACCCCTGCCTCGTCCATCACCTTGAAGGCATTCGCGTCGGAAAGGCTGTGTGCTGTGGCATATGTCGCACTCCATAGACTTACCATTGGCGTCCTTTGGGTTTCCCAGGGGTCCTTTGCCTTTTTCCCGATGTATGCCTGCGGTTTCTGCCAGTACCTAAACACATGTTTCGTACTGTGGTCCAGTAAGAGACAGACGCTTACCTTTACCTTTACTTCGCCATTTGCCCTTTCCTTTAAACGCTCGTCGTGCGATACGCGTTGCCTTTCGGACTGGTTTCTTCATAGACCTCCGCCAGCGACGCTTGTGTTTCTGGTCGCCTAAAAATAACCATTGCGCTTGTTGCGCAGGCATATCCGAGTAATCAAGAGCTGCAACTTCATCGTCTGAAGACGCATCGGTATCAGTACCGGAGTCGAAGTCGGACTCGGCGGGTTGCCCCGCTGAGCCCGTCAGGGCCATGGCTTGCATGGGGGATATCGCATCAGGCGGCCCTCGACGCCTGGCCCAGGAGTCTTGCGACCCCAGGCAGTTCCACCAGTCTGAGCCAGCAGTGTAGTGGTCTCAGTTGGTTGTGGATCATGATTCCAGACGTTGTTGGCAGGCTGCCCTGCGTTAGCCTCCACATGAAAAGGTCTCGGTTCGGTGACCGTGACTGAAGATGCCGCCGATATTGCCAGGGGTCCTGTCAGCAATGGGGCGTATGACCTCGCACGTTCAAGTAGTGCGTCAAATAGTTGTTGGTCTCTCGGCATGTGGTGGTTTAGAGCCTGCAGGAGATGTTGCGCACGCGATTTCCCCACTCCAAGAGCTCTGCATATAATTACTGATAGGAGATAGGATTGGGGAGTTGGGGATGTTGAAGCTGGCTGTTTCAGCTTCATAGCGGGCTATCTCAAAACGCGCTAACGTCTGGTCGACGCGGTCCCCCGCATGGACTCGGAAGTCAATGGGAGCAGTGCCAGAGTTGAGTTGGCGCTCCTATTCGAAATTCTCGAACTTCGTGCTTAAGAGGAACATGATATAGGTGGCGCCGTCAGTATGGCGGCCACCTGTGTTGACGCCAAGTTGATAACTGTTGGAGGGACTCGCATGGCTATGGTCCGTGCGAGACCTCCCAAACCTCGGTGCGGAGCAAACACCTGCTGGGAGGGCGTCATACTGCCTGTGGTCACGTTGATCCAAGCATATACTTCGCGGACAATTTCGCGAAAGGGTACTTGACCGGCTGGGTCCCAGTGAGGGCCAGTCGTTCTTGTGTCGTCTCCGCCACGCATCTGTCCTACCGCGCGCCCGATAGCGACCCCGGTGAGCCCCAAGATAGTATCACCAATCCAACGGTCTCGTAGGTCGTAGTCGGATGTAGTCGGTTGGGACTTCCGTTGGATAGTCGAAAGTCTGCGTGGGGTTGGGGGCGGCAGGTTATCATATCGCATGTTTCCACGCATTAGTTATATTTTCGAAGAAATGTCCAATTGGAGTAAGTGGGTGGACTTCAGGAGTGTAGAAGCGCAGGGATGTATGATGTGAGTAAGAGACCTCCGCTTGAGCAGAGGTATCGCTGCAGATGTCCTTGCGATGTTGCGTAGCTATATACATTCCTCCGCGCAAACCCAATGCACCCTGATGTTCCACCATATCCGTAGTCCACCAGATAGTGCCGTGGATGGTGAGGAGTAGAGCTAGAGCTGACCACCATAGGCCAGCTCCGCTACCAGGTTTGAAGAGGGCTGGGAGGCCCAGCCAGCAGCTTCGCCTTAGGCGAAGCCAAGCTCCAGCTCTGTTGTACCGTAGTAACGATAGTCCCAGCAGGAGAGGATGTGCCATCTTAAGCCATATTAAGATCCTTTTGGTCTTGATAGCGATTGTGTGCCTCGCAGTGAGGCGCAGTCATATTTGGGCGGCTGGCCGCTTGAACCGACGCGGCCGCGGGCGCACGCTCGCTTCCACTCCTTACGCCCCTCAGTTCGCTTTAGAGTCAAGGGACCCCAAACCGGAAATTCGAGCCCGCCCCCCCCGGCCCGGCACGACCCCGGACCGAACGCGTCTTGGGGGGGCAGAGGGCCCCAAAGCAGGCCAAGAGGGGACTCAGACGCCTCCCAGACGATCCAAGAGGGCCCAAAGATCGCCCCAAGACGCCCAAGACGGCCCCAAAACGGCCCTACAGGACGCCAAATCGCCCCAAGAGGCCTCCAAGAGGCCTCCCAAGAGGCCAAACTCCTTGATTGTTATGTATTTGTTTTCGATGTTTGGGGTTCTCGCCCGTACGGCACTCCGACGCTCCAAGACCGCCGAAGAGGGCCCGAAGACCGCTTCAAGACGGCCCAAGAGGCCCCCAAGACGGCCCAAGAGGGCCCCAAGACGGCCCAGGAGCAGCCCAAGACGGCCGAAGAGGCTCCCAAGACGGGCCCAACAGAGGCCAAAGAGGGGGACCAGGAACTGAAAAACTAGCCTGCCGCCCCAATGCGCTCCCAGGAGGCCTCAAGACGGCCTGAAGAGGCCCCAAGAGGCCCCCAAGACGCCCCAAGAGGCTCGCAAGAGGCCCACAAAAGACCCGAACAGGCCCGAAACCGTCCCAAAACGGCCCACGAGACGCTTCAAAACTGCCTCCCAGGCCCCCGAGAGGCCTGCAACGTCCACAGAAGCCCTTGAGCCGTCCAATATTGCTCCCGAGTAGCCCAACAAACCCAACCAGGCCCCGATACTCATCCCCACAAGACTCAAGGGGTCGGGGGATGTGGCGCAAGCCTGCAGAAATCGTCCGCGAGGTCGCGGCCCAGGCGCCCGGCCCACGAGGCCGCGGAAAAGTAGATGTTCTTCGCCGGCGAACTTACGTTTGCGTGCGTGGCATATGCAAGGCCGCCGTCCAAGGCGACGACAAGACCGAACACCGATCGAAACAAGCATGGAGCCGAAACAGACCGAACTCGACAGGCCACAGGCAGCCTGGAAGGTCGCAGCGATGCGGCAACGACGCGATACCGACTGCGACGCAAACGAGTCGACTGCACCGTGAGCACCCTCGATTCCTCCCCCGCCCCCTCCGCCGCCTTTCCAAGCGGCGCTGGGCCGAAAAGGCGCGCATGCGGGTCGTGACGTTGCGGGTCCCGACGTTGCGTGGAGTTCAGAGTTCCTTTTGATGGGCAAATTTCCACCACCACTACCATATGTAGGTCGGGGGAGAAGGGAGGATGAGGAGGTCCTCCTCAACCTCCTCCTCCTCCTCCTCGTCCTCCTCCTTCTCCTCCACCTCCTTTTTACGTAAGAGCAACCCCTAGGTAACCCTGTGGCGTTGGTCCTCCTCCTCCTCCTCCACCTCTTTCTCCCTCTCATACATATGGTAGTGGTGGTGGAAAGTGGGCCCACCACCCTTCGGGCCTCGCCATGCCCCCCCCCCCCTCTGCCCCCCCTTCATGCAAGCCAAGTTGCCAGAGGCCTGAGAAAGAAAAGCCCTCCTGCTCCCTCAACGCCCGCATGAGGGCAAGGAAGTCCCTCCCGTGAGGCACCGCAGAGGCAGGGCTGTCATCCAGATCGACTCCAGGAAGCGTCTGCAGAGAGACAAAAACAGCATAGACGCAAACTTTTGGAGGCTCGTGAGGATCTCTTGGACCGGCGCTTGGCCCCAGTGGTGGCGCCTTCTGCGCGGCAAGGACTGGGGCCAGGGCCGATCCAAGAATCCCGCCCAAGAAAACAAAACAAAAATGTACGGGTACGTCGGTTCTTCTTATTTTTCCTTCGGACCTCCCAATGCTTCAGCGTGGCGGGATATCCGAGCCACCTCGTGCATAGCGCTAGCTGCTCAAACCCGGCCTCGCTGAGGTCGCTGGATGCGAGGGCCGGGTAGCGAGCAAGGATGTCTTTCATCAGAAAGTCGGCCTCGCTGAGAGTGAAACCAACTCGCATCCAGATGATGCGGTTGAGTGCCGTGAACTGGTCCAGGTCCAGTGGCGTGCGCTGCTTATCATTACTGGCCTCTGCCATGAGATCCTCGACCACTCCCTTTACAGGCGTGACTCCCATATTCCGCAGAAACTGGGCCACCTCCGCATGCCCAAGCCTTCCGACGCTCCGCCTGTCCACGGCGTTGAACCTTTCCTTCATGCAGGCACTGAAAAGATCCTGGTATTTGCTGACAAACACGAAGAACTCCCTCTTGTCCAAAAAGGCTACGTTGTTGAACTTACTGCGCACTAGATCCTGTATCCACTCCCTGTTGATCATCCAGTGGCCCAACTGCGAGCAGGCCTCCGCCAGGTGATCAGTGGGGATCTCGCCCTGCACCGAGCAAAGCTTGAAAACCCTCATGCACGCGGGGTCGAAGTCGTGTTCGCGGGTGGCGCTCTCCTTTGTAGGGTTGTGGAAGTCCGTCATGTACCTCTGAACGTCCCATACAGACACCCTCTCAGTTTTGTGGGGTTTCAAGCTGCTTGGCAAACTGGCCAACGCCTCCTCGGCCACTTCCGCCACGACCTGGTACGGTATGCCCTCGTGGCCGTAGGTGTCGGTTAGCAGCCTGGACCCCTCATCTAACGTGACCCACTCGACCCGGCTGTCTCCCTCAGGCCGCCTGAAATACGCCAGCAGGTGCGTCGCGCCGGGCAGCGCAGGGGTGGCCAGTGCGCTCGTCTCCACTACCTTCGCTGCGTACCTCACGGACGACGAACAAAGCCCACAGCCGTGCCCTCGCGGTCTTCCCCCCCCTTGCTGCTACCGCCCCCCCGCTCCCATGGCCCATGGAACACATTGGATACTAATGGGCCCCCTGCCGAGAATTCCGGACCGCGAGAGCGTCGAAATGGTCAGGACAAGAGCAAGTACCCCCAACCTCCACCGGGAAAACCTCGGCCCCGCTAGTCCACCCCCCCTCCCTGGGATGGGTACCGTCCCCTCCTGGTTTCGCAGCACTTATCCTCACCATAGAAAGGCCATGAAACAAATGTACACAGTCGGGGTTTGGGTATGGATATGGCGCTGGAACATCCTGAACCCTAACAGCTTCGCATCTCTTGGGGGGATTATTGTTTTAGACGCCTCCTAGATGGAATCGGAGTAGATAGGGTCGGGGGATCGCGCCGCATCGCCGATGCATCGGCGATGCATGACCGATGCATCGGCCATGCACTGGCGACGTCAGCGATGCATCGGCGACGTCGACGTGGAGCAAGTCGGGCCCCACATCTAGCCGCATCGGCGATGCGTCGGCGATGTGGCGCGATCCTCCGACCCCATTTACTCCGACCCCAGGCCTAGATGCTAATAACTCGGTGGCGAGCGAGGGGAGAAATGAGAAGGTGAAGCCCCTCTCAGAAGGCGGCCAGGCTTCTCAGAAGGCCTCGCGCCTTCTGAAAGTTTGTCCGAATCATCAGGGAAGGCTTGAAAAACATCTCTTGGGAGGATTGCCTGGAATCCCTCAACCCCCAACAACGCGTCCTGCGTCCTCCTCCGTCCTCCGTCCTATCCTACGTCCTCCTCCGTCCTCCTCCTCCTCCTCCTCCTCCATCCTCCATCCTCCTCCTCCTCCTCCTCCTGCTTCTCCTCCTCCTCTTCTTCCTTCTCTTCCTCCTTTTCCTCCTCCTCCTCTGCCAGCTTCCGCACTTCCGCCGCCTTCCGCCGGTCTTCCGCCCACTCCCGTCGGCGGCAAGAGCGCGCCGAAGGCGGAGCCCCGTCTGGACCACCAAACATGCTTTGCGCGCTCCGGCATGGACTCTCGACGTCGGCGCTCGAGGGCGGGGAGCACGTCGGGGACGCACTGACCCGGGCCAATCCAAGCGCGGGTCAGTCGGGAGTTGCAGGCTCCTGCAGAGTCTTGCAGGATCCTGCAGGACCCTGCGCCCAAGCCCAGGTCAGTGCACCCCTGGCTCTGCGGGATCTTGCAAGATCTCACGCGCTGACTGATAACCATTTGCATTGACCCCCGTCTCTTGAGCCCCGAACGCGACGAGTTCGGACCCCTTCTGGATTCCAGATATGGCCGAACCTTGCGCATTCCTGCGCAACGGCGCCCACGGTATCTCCTGCGTGATTCCGAACGGTGGAAATGTCCAGCAGCGCGCAAATTGCAGCTTCTGGAAGTCCTAAGACCACACAAACAATGGCATTTCTTGTGTGAAGGAATGAAATTACGTCCGCCAGCCTTCCGCTGGCTTCCTCCAGCGGGAGCGGCCCTCGTTCTACTTCCGCCGCCTCCCGCTGATCTTCCACCTTCTTCCGCTGGGGAAGAAAAGCCAACCCCTCAGTCCCTTGATGAAGGGGCCCTGGGACACACAAATACATAGAAATAAATAACCAGATTCCCCATATTTTCTGATATTTTCTGGGTTTTTGTCATTCCCCCCACTTCCCATAGCTTCCCATCTTTTCGGGGAACTCGACGAGTAATTGTGTCGTGTTTTTGTTTCCCTCCTGACTTGAGGGCCACGCCATCCCTGGAGCGCTCCGTGTGACCCCAAAGGATCAGGATGCCTACATGCAATGTGCTTCCCGCCCGCGTGTGCCTGATGCCGTCGATCTCGAACTCGATGGCCTCCGCGTCACTCCGCCGGAGGGCCTCGCTCGCCCGCAGGAAACAGTCCAGGGCGGAGGCCATCAGCGACGCGGCGTCTCCGGCGGAGAGGCCGCTGCGTCTGAGCTGCTCCCAAGCCTGGGGGAACAAGCGACCTGCACAAGCATCACTTCGCGGAAGTCCGCGCGGACTTCTTGGCTCGGCGCTTTACCCCCCTTCCTGGCTCGGAACGTTCCAACGGTGACCTGAAAGACATTTCGCCAGCCCCTGACGGCGTAGATGGTTTAATCTGGGCGCTTGCTCTTCCAACCTCCGCCTTCCTCTCCAAGGAGGGCCGATCTCTGCTCCTCAAAGATCTACACCACCCGACCGGCGACAGACCCGGGCCAACGACCCCCCCCCTCGCCATCCCTGTCAACGCACCACTAGAGAATGCCCTTTGCGGCAGAAGCTGGATCATGCGCGGGTGCCGGGCGATCACCCTGCACTGTTGTCTAGCACGGGGGGGGGGGGGGCGGCATGCTGCCTGCTGCGCGCAGGCCCGTGCTCCCCGTCAGAAAGCCACGCGAAACGCACTTTGCGGCAACACCTTCCTCATGCGCGGGCGGCCCGCGATCATTTTGCAATCGTACAGTAGGGGCCCGAGCCCAAGAAATCGTCCACATGAAACGCAACCCTGAGACCCTAGGACGTCACCTTGTGACAAAATACAATACAATGTAGACCTTGTGTCACAGGTGGATCATGCGCGGCCGCGATCACTTTGCGTTGGTTTATACAGACGGCGGTGGTCCCGGCATATTGCCTGCTGTGCAACGCCAACACTCCCCACCACCCCTGGCACAAAGCAATACAACATACACTTTGCAGCAAAATCTGGACCATGCGTGGACCCCGCAATCACCTCGCATTCGCTTTTGACAAGGACGGCGGGAATGCCAACATATGGCCTGCTGCTTGCAGGCCCACCACCCCTTCCAACTGAACATTCAAAACGCACTTTGCCCAGGACGACGGGGGGAGGGGCCGACATACTGCATGTTGCGTGCAGATCCGCCATCACTGTAAACAAAAAACATGTGCGAAACGATTTCGGGTGCACGCGCGCACACCATACACGATGCACGCAAGCCATCCGTCGTGTTGTCCTCGACACGCATTCTCTTGCACAGGGTGTCTACAGCTCCGACCACTTTATTCCGCGTCGCTACCCCCCGCCCTGCCCCGCGTCCCCAGCACCAGAATGGGACCCCCGCGCCGTGGCTCTCTGCCCCGAGCCCCCCTGCGTCCCCAGCGCCCCAGCGGGAACCCCGCCCACTGCCCCCTCCGCCACGAACGCTTTCTTCCGCGTCGCACCCCACCCCCCGCGTCCCCAGCGCCAGAGTGGGACCCCCGCGCCCCAGCGGGAGCCCCGCCCACTGCCCTCTCCGCCACGAACGCTTTATTCCGCGTCGCACCCCACCCCCCGCGTCCCCAGCGCCAGAGTGGGACCCCCGCGCCGTGGCTCTCTGCTCCGAGCCCCCCCCGCGTCCCCAGCGCCCCAGCGGGAGCTCCGCCCACTGCCCCCTCCGCCACGAACGCTTTATTCCGCGTCGCGACGCACACCACCTCCCCCACCTCCCTCCCCGCGCCCCCAGCGCCTCAGTGGGGCCTCCGCCCCATGCCCCCTCCGCCCCGACAATGTTATTCCGCGTCGCGACGCACACACGCACACCACCTCCCCCCTCCCCTCCCCCGTCCCCACCGCCCCAGTTGGACCCCCGCCCCGTGGCCCTCTGCCCCAAGCCCCGCCCAATGCCCCCTCCGCCCCGACCATTTTATTCCACGTCGCGACTCGCCGCGCCACCAGCGCCCCAGTGGGACCTCCGCCCCGTGCCCCATCCGCTCCGAGCAGTTAATTCCCTGTCGCGACGCACCACCCCCCCCTCCCCACCTGGGATTTGGGCCCCGTTG